CTGGATTTTTTCCGTGGTGGTCAACGAAAAATTCCCGGGGGGGTTTTTCGCCCCCCCCAAATGAAACCCCAAGAATAAGGGGCGGTATTTCCAATAGTAAAAGATGTTAGGGGAAGTTCCCGGGGGGGTTCTGCGCCAAAAAGGGGGGTAGGGGTTAGGTGCTCCCCCTGGGTGGTCCCCCTAGCTGCTAGTAGCCAGTCGTTGTAGCTAGTACGACAGCTGACAGTTTGACGCGCCCGCGGGGTTTTTCAACCGCCCATCCCCCCCCCCCCCCCCCACTCCCCAGGTGCATGAACGGCATCGTGGCGGGGCTCGTAGGCATCACTGGCCCCTGCGGCGTGGTAGAGCCCTACGCGGCGGCCATCATCGGCATCGTCTCCGGGGCCGTCTACTGCGGCTCGTGGCGGCTGCACGAGCGGCTTCGGATCGACGACCCCGTGCACGCCGGCGCGGTGCACGCGTGGCCCGGCTTCTGGGGCTGCATCGCGTCGGGCCTCTTCGCGTGGCCCAAGCAGGTGGCCACGCTGGGCTACGTGGGCGGCGGCGGCCTCTTCTACACGGGCCACGGGGGCCAGTTCGGGACCAACGTGCTCGGCACGCTTGTCGTGCTGGCTTGGACGGTGGCCACCTCGTCCATCGTCTTCGGGTCGCTCCAGGCCGCCAAGCTCCTGCGCGTGACTGCGGAGGAGGAGGAGATGGGTGCGCAACGCCCCGACGGCACCCCCGCCACACCCCCACCTACACCCCACACCCACACCCAACACCCGCCCACTCCACCCCCCGACTCCACGCACCCCGCCCGCCCATGCCGCCCGCCCGTGCCGCCCTGCGCGCATCGCGCAGGCGTCGACCTCGCCGAGCACCTGCCTCGAGACGGCGTCACGCCTCTCAAGTCCAAGATGATGGGCGCCGTGATGAGGCACCGCGGCAGCGGCAGCGGAGCCTCGTCGCGAGCTTGCGGCGCGAGCGAGACTACCGCAACTTACGCCTGACGAGGGCATGCGACTCTCGGTGCACGGTGGCTGTGGCAAAGACTGCGTGGTGACTGCCACACGGTTCTTCTGCGATGGCGACTGGCAGCGTTATATACGACGCAGATGTGATCGAGCTACGCTTTAGTTGACTGAAGGAGAACCCTTGTTCTCAGCTCACCGGCCCTGGATGTGAGGTTACCGAATGCACTCCAAGTGCTCCTTGTGCCCTGTCGAGTAGTGGGCTTTCAGTTAGAGTTACAGAGTTTACCAATCACGCACGACGCAGTTATCGTCTCCATAGTAATGAACCTGGTTTGTGGACCTCCCGCACCTGTCCTGACAGTCCTGACAGAGTCCTGACAGAGTCCTGGCAGAGTCCTGACAGAGTCCTGACAGAGTCCTGACAGAGTCCTGACAGAGTCCTGGCGGAGTCCTGACGACGCACAGTCTTCACAGTACTCACAAGTGCCTTTGACGAGACTTCCACCTTCCAACTTCCTTCACTGCAACCCTCCCCTCCCCCCCAGCAGTGAATGATAGACGCCCAGCCCCCCTTTCGACCCGTGCCGCCCTCTGCGGAATCGTCCTGATGGGGCAGTCCTGACGTAAACTTGAGAGTCCTGACAAGCAAACTTGAGAGTCCTGACAGAAACTTGAGAGTCCTGACAGAGAAAGAAAGTGGACGGCCGATTCGCGCTCGCCACCGAGCGCACAAGGCAAGAGAGGCGCGGCCATGGTGCAGACAACGTTACAGCCGGCAACGTGCAAGAAGGCAGCAAAGCTCGGCCACGACGTCCATGGCCCGCGCGCCCCTGGTTTGCCACCGGCGGCCAGCAAGCCAGCGCCGAGCAGCGGACGACGGCTGACCGACTGCTGACCGAGGCAGCGCCCACGGCAGCGCCCACAGCAGCGCCCACGGCAGCACCCACAGCAGCACCCACGACAGCGCCCACGGCAGCGCACACGGCTTGGCTGGCCGTGTCAGCCGCGCAGGGACCCTCCCGCGGGTCCAACCCGAAGCGCTCGACCTCTCGACGGCGCAAGTCGGCTGACGGAGCGTGGTCTCACTCACCTC